AGGAGGATTCTGTTCAGGGGAGAGCTATGCCATGCTACCTGCCCACCATGAGCAGCGCCAAAAAGGGGGACAAGAAGCAGGGAGATGTACCCCCTGTGGCCTCGCTTAATCTCATGAATATTTACTGAGCATTCTCTGTGTCCCAGGCTCTGGCTGAGGGATGTGGGGCATGCTCGTGGGCAAAACAGAGATCCTGGCTTGGGGCTGTGGAGCCTCTGAGCTCCCTGAGGCAGGGATGGCGGCCCTCGTTCGCCAGCGTTTCCTCAGGGGCAGCCTGGGACTTGATGCTCAGTAAAGGCTGGGATAACCTGCCACTTGGGAGTTCCAGAGGTGATGGTTGATAAGAGACGAGGGATCTGGGAGCCGGAACAACTAAAGTATTCATATCAGAACTCTGAGTTTGCATAGCAGTGACAGTTGATGCTGACTTTAAGTGCATTGGTGGCCTGGGCCACGCTCTGAGGTCAGACGGTCATTTAGAAGGGTACGTTAAGGGGGAGAATTGTATTTTCCCTTTTCGCTCCCAAGAAGTGGGAAGAGGAAGAACAGAGCACTATTCCGAGCTTGCTGTGGAAGCAGCGCCCGTCCGAGGCGACGTGGCTCTCAGGCTCCAAGTTTTCCGTTTTGATTTGGGGTTGGGAGCACTGTTTCCTTTCCGTGTACTTTCCCCCCTCGGTTAGGTGCACAGAGGCCCAGGTGCAGCGTTCAGGAGCTGAGGAGGCTGTTACGAGTCCTTGGACAGAGCCAGGCGCTGCTGTAGGCTTGTTCCTGAGAATGTCCACTTCAGAGGCCAGACTTCCAAAGCGCTGCTGCAGGCCAGGGGGTCAGGAGGCAAGCCACAGCCTCCCCTCCACCAACCCCGCCCCCCCCCCCCATGTCCGCAGGAAGTCATGCTTTTGCACTGACCTCATGGCCAGCGGACAAGCCCTAGAAGGAGGAGGAGGACACCAGATAAAAAAGGGAGGAGAGAAGGAAGAAATGGAAGTAGGTCAGGGAGAGGGAGGCTGTGTCCCCATGAAAAGGGACAGAGACTGGGTGGGAGGTTGCCTGAGTTTGAACAAGAGCAAGGTCCTGGGACACAGGGTTGGGGACAGGCAGTGACGTTGGAAAGTGAAAGCGGGTTTTTGCCTGTTTTTCTGGCTGAAAACCGGCTGGTACTCAAGGGACCTGCTGGCGCTTTCTCCTTGGTCATAGCCGAGCTGTTTGGGAACCGGAATCGTCTGACCTGGGTGAAGAGGCACCCAGCTCAGGGAGCGTGCCAGAGCAAGGTGCTGGGTGAACCCCAAGTTCTGACAGCTTGCCAGTGCACCTGCTGCTCGGATGTTGGCAGAAGCATCCCTTTTGGGAACCGTTGGCCATACTGAATTTGGACATCACGGCGCTCTGGTGTTGAAATGGAGTGATGACTTCCCTTCCGTCAGGGGTCTGTGGGAACCCTCCCCACCGGGGACACGCCTCGCCTCTCCTCATCCTGGAGCAGAGTCACTAAGCCGCAGTTCCTTCCGCCTAGTTGCTGAATCACAACATTTTAAGGATAAAGTAACAGTTCAGAGACAAGACGCAGTTCTGTGGCGTTTGTTTACTTCCCTCCAATCAGCATAATTTATAGCATTTAGAGCAGTGGTTCTCAACCTTTCTAACGAAGCAGCCCTTTAATACAGCTCCTCATGTGGTGGTGACCCCAACCATAAAATTATTCCCGTTGCTACTTCGTAGCTGTAATTTTGCTGCTGTTATGAATCATAATGTAAATATCTGTGTTTTCCGATGATCTTGGGCTCTACAGCAGCGGTTCTCAACCTGTGGGTCGCCTAAGACCACCAGAACACACAGATATTTACATTACAATTCATAACAGTAGCAAAGTTGCAGTTATGAAGTAGCAATGAAAATAATTTTATAGTTGGGGATCACCACACCATGAGGAACTGTACAAAAAGGTCGCGACATTAGGAAGATTGAGAACCACTGATTTAGAATCTAACTCTTAAAAGTTAATTTCCTTTTTTGTTCCTTTGTCTCATGATTATCCAACTAGATTAAAAATTATTTTTTCTGCTGCCAACAGTGAAAGCGATCGGCTGAATAAAATGATGTGACCTAAGGATGTATGATGGTGTAGGCGTCCATGAGAATTGTATGTTTCTGCACTTGGGATTCTTTTGCGCTTTCTAATATTGAAAATGAGCAGCCTTCTACCCTCAGCTCCTCCTCCTTCCTGCTGCCGAGTCGGCCTGCGGTTGGACAGCCAGCCTCGCGGGTGGACAGCCGGTCTGATGGGGCCGAGGTTCGTGTGGACAGCACGGCCCCAGGCATGCCGAGCGAGGTATCCGTGGCTACTGTGCATCCCTGGTTCACGAGCAGGATGCCTCCCGGTTGGAGGAGGAATCTGATTCTGAATCCTAAGCTCTCTCCAGAAATAAACCAGAAACAGTTTGAGACAAACTTGTCTCTGCTTCCAAGGTAACGTCAGTGCTTTGGGAATATGCCCTCGATTCCCCTTCCCGTGTGTGACAGCGCCTGGGCCGGGACACTTCCTCCGTCCTCCAGCAGAGGGCCTCGGTCGTGCACGGGAGAGCCGCCTTCGCCTCAGGGGGGAGGGGAATTGATGCATCCTTTTCCCTCTAAGGCGGGGGGAGGCATTGCCCTCAGCGCTTCACCGCTTCACCTGGGCCAACAGACTTTTCCCCATTGTGAACGGTTCCTAGGAGTATCTCATTGGCTGCCATCCCTGGAATGCATGACATTTACGCCGTGTATATATATTAGGTGATTTGCATATTCATGATACAAAACATAGGCCCGAGCTCTTGCATGCACAGTGTGTGCTTTCTCCTAGAGCTGTACTTCAGTTAGAGAACCTACGTTTCTTTTGCCCGGGAAGGTGACAGAGCTCCCGGCTCACCCTCTTGCCGGGTCTGGGAACTGGAACAAGTTCCATGTCCTAATGAGCAAACAGGGTTAGGTCCTCATCGCTAGAATAGTGTGCTTTAGCCTGGATTAGTCACTCCTTCTGTAGGGAGGATGCAGGGACATTCTGAGTGATCAATTCCCACCGTGCAGCCTTCCCTGAGCTGCAGAGTTCAGATTTGATGCTGCCCGTTCGAGGCCTGATTTCTACCCTGGTCAACAGCCCTTGAAATCTGGGTCTCCTGTTGAGTCTGTCGTCTCAATCCCGCCCCTGCCACACGGTTCAAAATGCCACTCGTTCTGTGCCTCGTGCCTCGTGCCTCGTGGGGGCTTCATCGGCGGTTCTGGAATACAAGCAGACACCTCCGTTCTACCCGTCCACGTTCTCACTGTTGCTGTCTCCTTCCCCCACGCTCCTTACGAGAGCTGAGCTTCAGCCCAAAAGCAAATGTGCTTTGTTGCCTGAGAACACGGACCCATAAAAACAAATGAAGGGGAAAGCAGAGGAGACTCCGTGTCCCAGGGCCTGTTACCTAATCCTTACCCACATCTCCTTCCACGCTGCTCTGAGCCCGGAGCACACGCTTCCCTTTTTATGCCCCCATAAACCTGGCCCGCTACCACCCGGTCCGCGTGGGCGAGCGGAGGACGGCGTGTGTGTGCCCCTGTGCCAATGAACGCGCCGCTCCGGGGCCGTGCTCGTGAATGAGAGCTCTGGGATGTCGTGTAGGCAGGAGAGGCGGACTGATGGCCCCTGCGAGTGTCTGTAACGTACAGAACGCACATTCGGTTTGATTTAATACCTTTGTGCCGTTTGAAATGTCATCCAAGCAGAGGGCCAAAATGCCTGGAGCATCTGCCACAGCCTGCGGGGCTGGCTGACAGGTCTGCACCGGCTGACCGGCCCTGCGGTGGCTCGGAAAGATGAGACGTGTCCTAATGAGCGGGTTATAAATATCCCCGCGTTATGTCATAGGCGGCGGCAGCGGCGCGCGATGCAGAGGGACCGGCCGGGGAGGGCGCCAGCTGAGCAGCCGGGCGCAGCTTTCAGCGAGGACAAGTGGGGCCTGGATAGATTGACCAGGATGTTACTCGGGAATCATTTGTCCTTTAATGAAATGTGTCACCACACACGCCTCTGTGAGGCGTGTGGGGCAGCGGGATGCTCCGTGCTCCGAGCCGCCGGCAGCTCAGGTTCCTCGCTCCTGCAGCTGCTCCCGGAAGGGGCCTCCGACCCTTTGCTTCTCCGCGGGGTGGGAGGTGGGGGTAGGGAGCGTTTGATGGATTGATTGGGCAGTAATTTATGTTTGCAAAGACGGAGCCCTTCCTTTCTCCCACCTTTTCTCTCTGTCTCGCCCATAAAACTGCATACTCCTGATACAAAACGTAGGCCTGAGTGCTTGCATCCACAGTGTGTGCTTTCTCCTAGAGCTGTACTTCAGTTAGAGAACCTACGTTTCCTTTGCCCAGGAAGGTGACAGAGCTCCCGGCTCACCCTCTTGCCGGGTCTGGGAACCGGAGCAAGCCGTGTCCCTTCCGTGTCCTAATGAGCAGACCGGGTTAGGTCCTCATCGCTAGAATAGTGTGCTTTTGCCTGGATTAGTCACTCCTCCTGCGAAGGGGATGCAGGGGCATTCTGAGTGACCGACTCCCACCGTGCAGCCTTTCCCCACGCTGCATGCGGTGCCTTGTGGGTATTTCTGTTCCCCAGTTGCCACCCACCTTTTAGATGAAAAGACAGATTTCAGCGCCGCTCAGCAGAGCAGGAAAACCACGGAGCCACCTAAGGATGAAGATAAACTCTGGCAAGACACCTTGTTTTTGTGGGGCAGGGAGAAGGGAGCCTCAGAATCCATTTTCCAACTTTTGTTTTTTGTGAGAAAATTTGGTTTCAGAAACACAAAATCCATCAGTCCTAGGTCATATTTCGGACATGTGAACAAAGATAGACAGGCACATTCAGAATAATTGTTGCTTGAAACCTAGCCCACAGCTTTTATGCAGATAAAAGGCATTGAAATCATGTGTAAAGAACATTTAATGTTAATACATGCGAGATGGAAACCCTGTCACATTCTGTGTGCACACAGGAACTTGACCAGAGGAGTGGGGAGGTTCAGAGAGCTCCTCCGAGCGGTGGAGACGAGAACAACTCAGAACCTGCGAATGGTAAGTGTGGTGAACGACTCGACTACGTGTTATCTCTCTCTCTCTCACATATATGTTAATAGATATAGCTTACATACCATATAATTAGCTGTTTATAGTCAGTGGTTTTTAGTATACGCACAGGATTGTTTAGGAATCGCTAATAGTTCATTTCAAAACCCATTAGTAGTCAATCTCTATTCTCCCTGTTCCCCAGCCCCTAGCAATCACTCATTTACTTTCTGTTTCTATAGATCTCCCTCTCTGGGACATTGTATATACACGGCATACTACAATATGTGGTCTTTTTGTGACTAGCTTCCTTTACTTGTGATATTTTTTTAAGGTTCATCCACGTTGTAGCCTGCACCAGCATTTCGTTCCTTTTTATTACCAAATAATATTCCATTGTATGGATTAAGACACCAGAGGCCTGGTGCACAAAATTCATGCATGGGTGCGGTCCCGAGGCCTGGCTGGCGATCAAAGTGTGAGCATCTGGCGTGGAAGGGCAGGTCCCAGCTGACCTCTGGGCAGCACCTGGGCCCCGACCCTCGCACGCCCCTCCACCTGAGTCACAGCGCCCGAGTCCCCATGTGGAGATGCAGTGAGTGCGGCTCAACGCCATAGGCCGGGGTGCAGCGTGGGCCTCTGGGCCGCCCAGCGGTGCTGCATGGAAGCCAGGCGGGCAGCACACTCTCTCCCAGCCGGCCTCCAAGACTGGCTCCTGTCACGGGGAATTCCTGTGGTCCCAGAGGCTGCGCAAGTGCAGGGAGAGCTCCTCATGGGCACCCAGCACCTGAGTACGGGGGTGGAGGGAGCTGGGGAGTGCGGGCTTCCCCAGTGCGCGAGCCCTGACATCCAGGGGTGGGGGGAGGTAACAGAAGGAACGAGAGTGAGCTCAGCAGACACCCAGCAGTCTCACTGCACCTCCATCCCCGTCACCATCACCCCCAGGTAGCTGGCGAGAGGCCTCAGCATGTCCCTATGCCCACCATGTTCCGCACTGCCCCCTGGTGGTCAGCACACATCAGAGTGAGCAGTGGAACTCCTGGTCTCCCTGTCAAACTCTCAAACAACCGCCCGAGGGGACAATTTGCATATTAGGCTTTTATTATATAGGTTTTTACTTATCCATTCATTAGTGGATAGACTTCTAGGTTATTTCACTTTTTAGCTGTTATGAATAATGCTGTTGTGAACATTCTTATGCAAGTTCTTATGTGGGCATACGTGCTCATTTTTCTTGGGTATGTACCTAGGGGTGGAATTGCTGGATCGTATAGTAACTATTTTTAACACTCAGAGGAGTTGGCAAGCTCTTTTCCAAAGTGGTCGCACCATTTTGCATTCATGAGGCTTCTGGTGTTTCCACACCCTAGACTAGGGGTGTCGAACTCAATCAGAGAAGGGGCCAAAATCTAAAATCCAGCCTAAATCGCGGGCCGAATGGTTTACTGAACAGTCATAAACTGTCATTGTGATGGAAACGCAGCGGAGTGCAGTGATGACAGCGCCGTGCGGGCCACATTGCAAGGCCTGGCGGGACGGATTTGGCCCGCGGGCCTTGTGTTTGACACATGTGCCCTAGACATTCGTTGTCTGTCTTTTTAGCTGTGGCCATCCCAGTGTGTGTGAGGCGCTGTCTCATGGTGGTTTTGGTTCCCATTTCCCTGATGGCCAATGATGTTGGGCATCTTTTCAGTTGCTCATCGGTAGTACTCTCTCTTGAAACCTAAGAAATGCATCCCGTAAGGCAGGTGGAATGTAAGCCCTCCCAGATGCCATTTCGGGAAGGGATCACTTGTATGCTAATGATTCATACAGACAGAGCAAATCGGATTAGCCCTGCGCAGTACCTAGTTGTTTGACTAACTACATTGACCATAAAACTTACAGTTAAATAACTGGTTGATCAGCCGCTTGGCTCTCCTTTTGACTTGAATTCTCTCTCTTCATTTTTAAACCTTTCACTTTCCTTCCTGGGGCCATTCCTTTGCCACACCTTCATTGCTTGCCCTTCAGAGCCATAGCCACTGAGTGAGTGAGTGAGTGAGTGTGTGGGCAAAGGCCTGGTGCTTACTGGGAGCAAATGCTGCCTGTCAGCACGGATGCAGAAACCCCATGTAAGCCTGCAGTTTCTTTTGTCTTCTGTCATCCATGCGACTGTCCTCCCTTATCATAAATCCTCTAACTGCTGTAGGAGAGCGTGCCCTGGGGCCAGGCTAGTGGCTTCCTGTCACAGATACGAACTTGTATCTTCAGTTCGGTGTCTCCAGAGTTTTAGATGCAGACATACTGTAACTCATGGGGCCAGATGGCTAAGCCATGGGCTTTCCTGGAACGATGAGGGTGAGAGAAGATGGACTTACACATGCCTGCCCCACCAATAGCTCACATGGTCTTCAATATTTATTTACATAGTCATGAGATTTCTAAAAAATATATATTTTATTGATTTTTTACAGAGAGGAAGGGAGAGGGATAGAGTTAGAAACATCGATGAAAGAGAATCATCGATCAGCTGCCTCTTGCACACCTTCTACTGGGGATGTGCCCGCAACCAAGGTACATGCCCTTGATCAGAATCGAACCCGGACCCTTCAGTCCATAAGCCGATGCTCTATCCATGAGCCAAACCAGTTTCGACATCATATGATTTTTAGGTGCCTTAAGAAGTTCAAACGATTGCAGTAACAAGTGGAAATTTTTATCCATGTTTTACAGTGGAAACCACTGCAAAATATGGATAAAAATCATTGCCTTCTTTCTCATTGTTCTACTCCCAACGTTCCATAAAACTTCCCAGCTGGTCAATGTGAACAGCTTCTTCCAAAATTTGGAAACATAATATAAGTAACTGATTGTATGAGCAAATGCTTTTATAACTTTTCCAAGCACATTGAAAAAGCCCATCTTTCAAAATTGCTTAAGTATGGAGCATTTGTTCATATTGCTGACTCTCAAAAAATTTATATTGATTCATTAAGGAAATGAATGGTTTTTTTTCCCTCATTAAAAGGAGTGACTGTATTGTATACACTGTTGGAATCTGCCCGCTGCTAATTTCATCGTTATTTTTCAGAATTAGAGAACATCTTTCATTATAAGGTTTATGATTTTTAAATTAATATATTTGAACTTATACATAGATATACGTTAGGAAGGAAGACAGGTTTCTTTGTTTTCTGAGAATTACAGTGAAGAGGCCTCGAAAGAAAGTCTGGGTAGAACGGAGCTGCCCCTGCACGTTCTTTCTCAGCTGCTAACTGGTCAGTGTTAATCTGAGAGGAGTAGCTTGGCCAGTGTGGCTCAGTGGTTGAGTGTCAGCCTATGAACCAGGAGGTCACGGTTCAGTTCCTGGTCAGGAAACATTTCTGGGTTATAGGCTCGATCCCCAGTGCAGGAGGCAGCCTATCAATGATTCTCTCTCATCATTTATATTTCTATCTCTCCCTCTCCCTTCCTCTCTGAAATCAATAAAAATATATTTCAACAAAACAAAATGAGAAGAGTAGACCTTTGATCTTGGTTGATGATCCTCATGTGACCTAAGTTGAACTGTTTTTAATTCCTTGAGTATTTAACCAAAAGTGTGTGAGTCCTGGCTGGTATAGCTCAGTGGTTTAGCATCGACCTATGAACTAGGAGGTTCCTGGTTTGTGCCCGGGTTGTGGGCTCAATCCCCAGTGTAGAGCATGCAGGAGGCAGCCGATCTATGATTCTCTCTCATCATTGACGTTTCCATCTCTCTATTCTCCCTTCCTCTCTGAAATCAATATATATATATATATATATATATATTTAAAAAGCTATGTGTCAGAATTCTTGGAGAGACACTTAAATACAAGATGGGGCAAAAGTAGGCTTACAATTGTGAGAACGTGAATCACAGAGTTTACTATTGTGTTTATTAATTATTAGTTATTGTTTTACTTTCCATACAAACAACTGTAAACTTCCCTTTGCCCCACCCTCTACGCATCCCTGTGCCTGCCTCAGAAAGGCCAGCTGGGTGGTATGGGCAGACCTGAGAGCCTTATTTTCTAGTTTGCACAGTGATTCTGAGCCCACCCTCACTGAGACACTTCCTGGGTCTTATTTACCGGTTTCTTGGCTTACACTGGACCTCAGAAAGCCTCTCCAGCTACTGCCATTCCTCAGAGTTTTCATTGGTCTTAATAGCCATTTGATTCTTTTTAGGTTAGCTGATAACTGCAGATTTGTGATATTCATATGAGATGGAACGCTGCTTTGTCAAACTCAGTCTGGTGTGAGACCCTAGCAGAGAAGGATTTAGAAGTACATTTACAGCAATGCCACTCCTAGATAAATACTCCAGAGAATTGAAAGCAGGTGTGCAAACAAAAACTTGTGCATGAATGGTCATAACAGCACCATGCACAACAGCCAAAAGATGGACACAATCTAAGTGACTGTTGGCTGACAGCTAGGTAAGCAAAATGTGGTGCCGCCGTAAATGGAACAGCTTTCAGTCATAAAAAGGAATAAAGCACTGATGCATGCTACAGCAAAGATGGACCTTGAAAACATCATGCTGAATGCAAGCAGCCGAAACAAAGGTCACACATTATATGATTCCACTTACAGGAAAATACCCCACCTAGACACATCTATAGAGGCAGAAGGCAGATTCGTTGTTTCCAGGGTCTGGAAGGACGAGGAATGGGACTCACGACCTAAAAGGGTTTGGGGCTTCAGGGAGAATGTTCTAGAACCAGGGACTAGTGATGATTGCACAACACTGTGAATGTACTAAATGCCGTTAGTGTATACACATGAAATGGTTAAAATGGTGATCTTAATGCTATGTGAATTTTATTACACTTTGAAATACATACAAAAAAGGCCATTTCTTGACTGAGTTTGTATGTAAAAGTTTGAGTCTTCTTTCAGGCCCCTTTTCTTCTTTTCCTTTCTTTACTTCTGAGTTCATTTGATAGTTCCCAGCAGTTTTTAAGCATTTAAACTGCAAGCTAAATGCAGCCTTCATGTAAAAAATAAAAAGCATAGCCCAGCTGGCGTGGCTCGGTGGTTGAGCCTCGACCTATGAACCAGGAGGTCGCAGTTCGATTCCAGCCAGGGCACATGCCCGATGCCCATTGTGGGGGTGGGGCGTGCAAGAGGCAGCTGATCAATGATCCTCACTCATTGCTGATGCTTCTATCTCTCTCTCTTCATTCTCCTCTGAAATCACTAAAAATATATTTTTTAAAAATAAAAAAAAATAAAAGGTATGATAGATATCGATGATCTTGCTGATAATTTCTCAAATTTAATCTTTCTTCCTGAACTTCATTTGAGCTTTCAGCGAGTGCAAGCAGACATTCTTTCTCATCGGTAGGGCACTGGTGAGGTGCTGGGAGCCTTATGCACATATAACATCAAAACCTACTTTAACCATCTTTCTGGAAGGTTAATGCCCTGAGGGAATTGAGATCTAGCAGTGAGCAAGCAAACTGTGCAGGGCAGAAGTTTTTGTAATTTTAGAATCCCCCCGTCTCCAGAAGATGGAGGTCCTTGTGCATTTTCCCCCTTTAGCATCCTTTTTTGCTCAGCTGCCGGGAGTGCAGGTAATCTTTGCCCATCAATGCTCCCAGCAGAAGTCATTAGCTCTATGACTGCAGTGAGTCAAAGTGAAACCAGAGCGGAAGGTTTAAGAAAACAGTTCAGGAATCGTTTAGGTCCTGGAGATTGTGTTCTTAAGAGAGCTTTACCGATGGCTCAGCTGGGGATGATAGGAGAGCTTTAATTTCACATGTTTATAGGCAGTTAAAGCCAATGAGTCTTACTTGAGAATAATCAAGAAAATTTGCCTTTACACGGCGATTATCAGAAACCACTAAGCTAGTTGTTTGGTTGCGTTGAAGTTTCCGTGTGGCATGTTAAGAGAGTTCACAAGGATGAAAGCCTAGCAGAGGTCTCCTCGGAACACATTATTAAAAAGGCTCCTTCTAAGGGAAGATCGGCATTCTTTGTCTGCAGCCTGCAGAGAGCCGAGGCCTCCTGGAGGACCTGCCGGTGGACGGTTCCTTTCGTCACCTCTGGCTGGCCACGGGCCACCTGCCCACCTGAGGTGCAGTGCTTCTGTTTTCAAAGGGTTCTTTTCTTTTCTTTTCTTTTTTTTTTTTTTTTTTTAACTTTTCTTCTTTTTTTTTTTTGTCATTGGAAACAAACTAATATGCATTAGTCAAGAAAATACACTGAGTGGCCGATTATTATGATCTCTGAACGCATAATCTGGCCATTCAGTGTGTATATATATATGTATATTGGAGGCCTGGTGCATGAATTCGTGCACGGGTGGGGTCCAGCCAGCCTGGCCAGGGGGAGGGGACATGGCCGGTTGGTTGGCCTGCTTGCTGGTTAAATTCCTGCTGTGGGGACAATTTGCACATTAGCCTTTTATTATATAGGATATACACTGAGTGGCCAGATTATTATGCATTCAGAGATTATCATAATCTGGCCACTCAATGTACTTCCTAATAAAAGCCACATGCTCTTCCCCCCACACATCATACGGGGCTGCCCTGGGAGGTGGAGCTGGAGTTTGGAGAAGGTAGTAATCTGCATCTAATTCAGGAGGATCGCGCACTCCTGGGTTTTCACAGTGAGAAAGGAGATGCCTATCCAAATTTGGACAAAGGCCTCTCATGATCATTAGCCATACTCCCCATTGCAAAGGCCCAGGGTCACCAAGAACAGGGTTCTCAGGACAGGGTCCCAGGGGGGGCCATGGAGGTCCAGCCCATGGCACTCTAGGACGGAAGACAGTATGAAAATCTACGCTGGATGTCATCTTGTCATCAAAAAATAGACTTTTTTCAGGGATAGCATCACCTAGGTGGAGTAGTGGCTTTTTGCCAAGTGTGGGCTTTAGCAGGCATCATTTGGGAGGTGATGAAAATATTTGTAGTTCACCCTGTTATCTATAAGGGTTTCTGAAAAAGAGCTTAACTAAAAGTTTCAGTTGTAAAATAGGGTTAGTGTTCCAGAGTGCAACCGAGGCAGCTGGCATTTGAAGGGCATGAACTTACATATTTTTTTAATTGTCCAAGTATCTTGGTGTATCCTGTCTTCATTTTGTCATCAGCTGATATCATTTCATTATGAGTCTTGGAAGAGTGCATAATACAAAGTGACGACTGAAAAACACTAAGTAGATGAGTGAATGAATGAAACAAAACAGATTCATGGCTCTGCCCTTGCCCCTTTGTGTTCCCAGACAATAGCCAGGCAGCTGGCAGAGATCTTGTTGCGGGGTATGTGCGAGCAGAGCTACTGGAACCCTCTGGAGGACCCGCCCTGCCAGTCGCCTCTGGACGACCCTCTCCGGAAAGGAGCCAACACCAAAACCTACACCCTCAGTCGCAAAGCCCGCGTCTACTCAGGAGAGAAGTATGGGAGCTGACTCCTCACTTACATATCCGGGAATGGGAGGGAAACTTGGGCAGCATTCGAGGATGAGTAGAAGTTCAAGGGCAGATAGTGTCCCCCTGAAAGAAAACCCGATGGACAAGTCTCACTGACCAATTTAAGCGAGGTACCTCATTATTTCTCACACGTTCAGCAAACGTCTGTACACCGGTGAGGGAAATGCTCTCATCTCAGCCATTGCTATTGGTCTTTGAATTCTCAGCCCCTTTATCAGGAGAACCCCAGCGTTGTACGCAGTCCGTGACAGAGCTAGTTGTAAAGTCAGCAAGTTAACTTTTTGCTTTTCTTCAATTCCTTGATCTTTTTGTTAAACTTGTCTAAAACTGAATTAGCTATCTGAAGGAGAATTAATGTGCAAGTGATTGGAAGGTGATGTCTCCTTAGAACTTTCTGGTTATATTAAGTTTTAAATTTGGAACTCAATCACCCGTGAACCCTGTAGCCTCCACCTGGGTCTCCCCAGGCCAGGAACGGAGGGGAAGGAGGGAGAGAGACCGAGAGAAGGGCGAGGAGGCAGGAACGATGTGGACTCATTCTTGACTTTTCCCTCAGATCTTTACTTCCCATCTTTGCCTGTTCTTGCAAGGACAAAGCACGATGGCACTTCAAAATTTCTTCATGAAGGAAAGGGAACATGTACAAATAAAGAGGGAAACCCTCTCTGGCTGTTGTCAAATTAGAAAAATGGCCGAGAGACCGTAGGCCCCAGAAAAAGCACCGATAGTCATGGAGGGTGAGGACTAGATTCTTACTACACGTGTACCTTCTGAAAGTGGTTATTGCACCTACCTCTTAAGCAGCTCTCTCCCTCATCATCTTTTATATATATATATTATTGATTTTTTACAGAGAGGAAGAGATAGGGGTAGAGCGTTAGAAACATTGATGAGAGAGAATCATCAATCAGCTGCCTCTTGCACCACCCCTACTGGGGATGTGCCTGCAACCAAGGTACATGCCCTTGACCGGAATCGAACCTGGGACCTTTAGTCTGCAGGCCGACGCTCTATCCACTGAGCCAAACCGGTTTCGGCAAGTGAGCATGTTCTTAACGTTTTCCTGGGCTTATTTTAATTTCATTTTTATCCTCCTTTTTTCATGGCCTTGTTGAGCCATGAGTTTGCCTAATTCATAGCTTGTTTATTCCTTAGTTCTTCTGGGTTCAGAGAACATGTGTTCTTGCAATTCCCAAACTCACTTTAAAATGCTGACCCCTTTTTTATGAACTATTTAGAAGTAGATTTGGGTTCATTTTGAAAGAGATATTTATATCTTAAAAAGAGACCCTACATTTTTTTTCTGCTTTAGATGCTTCTTAGTAAGGTGGCATATAAGGTGCCAGGTATACTGAAAAGTCAGTTCCTGCTCCCTGCCCAGATCCAGTTGACAGATGGAGGACAGATGGAGGGAGCGCTCTCTGTTTGGGTGCTGTTCCAGTGTGGCCCCACCCCTCGAAGGCAGAAAGCTCACGGTGCTGGCACTTCTTTATTTCCTACGTCCCTGAGTCTCTGTCACTCTTCTAACAGAGCTTCCCCATCTGTACAGGGAGAATTGTGGAGGCAACATGCCGATCTAGAAAATGCAGTACTAGGTAAAGGAACCATCTTCATACCAGGACTGGTTACTGAGTCGCATGTTTCATTTCAGACCGGTACACACATGTGGGTTTTTTTTTTAAACCATTTTGTTGAGATGTAATTCACATACTCTATATACCACTCACTTATTTAAACTACCGTTCAGTGGCTTTTAATATAGTCATATAGTTGTGCTTACATGACCACGATCAATTTTACAACATTTTCATGTGCAAGTGATTGGAAGGTGATCAGCCAAAATCAGCCCAGAACCCCTGAACTGTCCTCGCCGCACACCTTCCTTTGCATTTAATTTTGGAGTCAGTTCATTTCTGTAAAGAAAAATGCAACTAGGACTCTGACAGGAATTTCATTGAATCTGTAGATCAATTTGATAAGTATTTCCATCTTAATATTATTAAGACTTTTGATCCATGAACATCAATTTCTTTCTAGTTATTTAGGTTCTCTTTAATTGCTTTCAACAATTTGTAGTTTTCAGGGTGTAAATTTTGTACTTCTTTTGTTAAACATTTCTAAATTGATGTGTGTGTGTGTGTGTGTGTGTGTGTGTGCGCGCGCGCGCGTGCGCGCGCGCGCAATTTTTTAATGCAATATTGAGTTGAAATATTTTCTTAATTTCATTTTTGGGTTGATTCTATTGATTTTTTGTATACCACAATCTTGTTGAATATTCACTAGTTCTAATAGTTTTTAGATTCCTTAGGATTTTTTATATGTCATCTGCAAATAGAGATTAGTTTTGCTTCTTTCTTCCTAATCTGGATGTCTTTTATTCCATTTTCTTTCCTAATTGCCCTGGCTAGGACAATTTCCTAATTGCCTTGGCTAGTACAATGTTGAATAGAAGTGACAAGAGTGAACATTCTTCTGTTGGTCCTGATATTAGGAGGTGAAAAGCATCCATTCTCTCGCCATTAAATTGGTTGTTAGCTATGGGTTTTTACAGAGGCTTTTTGTCAGGTTGAGGAAGATCCCTTCTATTACTAGTTTGAGGGTTTTTTTTTTGTTTGTTTTGTTTTTTCATGAAAGGGTGTTTTAAATTTATCAAATGCTTTTTCTGCATCCATTGAGATAATTGTATGGGTTTTGTTCTCTATTCTCTTGATGTTATGTGATGAGATATATTACATTAATTGACTTTAAGATATTAAACCAATTTTGGATTCTTGGGTAAATCTCATTCTTCGTGGTATATACATCTTTTATTTATTGCCAAGCTTCACTTGCTAGTTTGGAGAGGTGATGAAAAATTTAGTTGAGGATTTTTACATCAATATTCATAAAATACATTGCTCTGTAGTTTTCTTGTGATATTTTTGTCTAGTTTTAGTATTAGGCTAATACTGGCCTTATAGAATGAGTTATTCCTTTTTCTACTATTTTCAAGAGTGTGGAGAAGTGATATTGTTTTTTAAATGTTTGGTAGAATACACCAGTGAAGCCATCTGAGCTTTTGTTTGTGGGAAGGTTTTTTTTTTTTTTAATATATATTTTATTGATTTTTTACAGAGAGGAGGAGAGAGGGATAGAGAGCTAGAAACGTCGATGAGAGACAAACATCGACCAGCTGCCTATTGCACACCCCCTACCGGGGATGTGCCCGCAACTAATGTACATGCCCTTGACCAGAATCGAACCTAGGACCTTTCAGTCCACAGACAGACGCTCTACCACTGAGCCAAACTGGTTTTGGCTGTGGGAACGTTTTCATTATAACTTCAGTCTCTTTATTTGTTATAGGTCTATTAAGACTTTCCATTTATTCTTGAGTCAGTTTTAGTAGTTTTTGTCTTTCTACAAATTTGCTCATTTCATCTAAGATATCTAATTTGCTGGCATACCATTGTTCATAATATACATACATATATATATTGTGTCTTGTCTTTCACTTCTCATTTTAGTAATTTGAGTTTTCTCTCTCTCTTTTTGGGTCAGTATAGCTAAAATTTTTATCAAATTTTGCTGATCTTTTTGAAGAACCAAATTTTGGTTTTGTTTATTTTTTTTAAATTGTGTATCTATTCTATTTTTTCATTTATGTTTGTACTATTTTGTATTCCTTCAGTTATCACCATCAATTTTTAACTTTCTAGTTTTGCATGTTCACAATCCTACTTCTGATTTATTAGTAAAGAGAGAAAAGCTGTTGGGTTATTTTTGTCTTGGGGCTTCTATATTACTAAGGCAGGACTTTCTGATCAGTCAGTTCTCAAAAGGACATTATCACCAATTCACTTGAGTACAAAGCAAACTTTAGTGATACAGATTCTAAAACATGGTGCATTTTCACCAAGTGAACACATGCATGTAATTAGCATCCTGATTAAGAAATAAACATTGGCAGAACTCAAAAAGCCCTAAAAGCTTAATATACGTTTCAAAAATGAACCAGATTAATTCTTGTGATAGAGGTCTGGACAGAGTCACCCTTGGGTAGGGGTAGTCATTGGGAGAGGGTATAAGGAGGTAGTCATGTGGCCAAGACTAGACCACAACCTGCCCGCCCTGAGCCCAGCAGCCCTGCATTGCCTCCTCCTCTGCCAGCCCCCCGTCCAGCTCCCAGAGCTGATCCCCATTTTCTCCCTGTCCCCTTCTATCCCCCACCCTGCCCTTCAATCAACTTCCTCTGAGGTCTGAGCAACAAAAAGGGCCCCAAGAAGAGAATGTCACAAATTCTTCCTCCCTCCCACCAGCCCCAGAGAGCTTTGCAAGCCCTGGGTCTCCATCTTTCCTGGCTCCAAAGGAAGGGTAGAGGAAGTGGAATTAAAATCAATGTGCTACTTGTTAGCAGCTCTGGTAAAAATAACAACTCGCATTTAAGCAGTCTGGATGGCTCAAGTGGAATTTGGGGATTACCCATGGTGGAATTGGCTGGTGTTAAATCGCAATTAGCATGGGCTCTCTCTCTTTGGTTAATGTGGACAATGCAGGACTGGCTAGCCATGGAAAATGCTTAATGATCACATGTAAGCACAAGCCAGGAAATCAGGAAAAGGTCGCTGGGTAGACACACATACACACACACACACACACACACACACACACACCACAGTCTTGATTCAAAGCCCATAGGCTCTGTATCTGATTTAAGGAGGAAAAATATTCCATCTTCTCAAATCCCTGATCACCTCAAGCTACCTCTTTAAAGAAGGCACTGCCAATTCCAGAATCTTGATCTTTATTTCCTAAAAGTTTAGCCCTACAAGAGCAATAGGTACGATTCCACAGGTGGTTTTCTTACCTGTAGGGAAGGCAGACATGTGAAGAGTCTGAGGCACTTTTAGGGTCTTGCTTTTTAAGGTCCTTTGATACAATATAAAAGTTTCCAAATCTTCAGAGAGAGCAAGTATTTATAATAATTTGGAAAACTTTTTTTTTTTTTTGCAATGGGGCATGTGTGGTGTGTGTGTGTGTGTGTGTGTGAATCATTTCATCTCTTAAGTTGAATGATAGTAGTATTACCCCTGAGAGGATAAGTTTAGTTTTTATTTAGTCCTCTCCAAAACATCCAGGAAGTTTTTACTAACCAGGTTCATCTTTCTTGCACTCCTCTCCCAATCCGTGAAAAAGAGTTGAGTTTGGCCCAGTTGTGGTAACACTCAGTTCTACTCAAAGGATTTTAGAGCTTCAGATCAAGGCGGGCAATGCTGGACGTGTTTTTAAATGCTCAAAGCATAAAATGTAGGATATAGAGAATGCACATTTGGGTTCTGTTTGGTTTTTATTGTTCTCTAATCCTGAGCAACATCGTGCTGAAGAGCTTTTGATAAAATCCAAGATATTAGAATTCAGCCAAATTCCATAAAACTGATTAATAAGACAGTTAGGTCTTGCATGCCACCCCATAATAAAACATGTGGTTAAGTAAGATAGCTCACTGCACTCTTACAGAATTCTAGAAATTATTCAAACTTTAAAATTTCTTCCAATCTCTTATTTCAACTTAAGGACAATATCAGATATTCCAGTTAGCAAGAAAGAGGTAAAAAAGACTACTGCAATCACACCTCCAGAACGGGTTTAGGAGAATGCTGTGAAGATAATGTCAGTTTGCAGCAATCTAAATTTCTGCTTCTATCGCGAGCTTGCATGTTATTTGGACTTTCAAATTGGTTTTTACAGCTCTACTTCACCCTGCTGCCTACTATTAAAATGTATGGTTAGAACGTACAAATTCCATAGATTACCATAGAAATAAGCAAATTAACTCGAGTGTCCAGATTATACACTGCTTTCCATGGGTTCTATATAAAAATCTTAAAGCTTTTGAGCATTTTGTCCCGCTCATAGTCAAGGATTTTGTGTTATTTTGAGATTGCCCTATATCAAAGCTGGTTCTCTTTATACAGCATTTTTTGCCCTCAAGAAAATACAGAAGAAGCCCTGTTGTTATTGCTGATTAGTGAATCTATGGTAAGTAGAATGTGTTTTTACATTTTTTTCTCCCCTATTCCTATAGTCCCTTTTTTTATATGGTTACTCCACCAGCATAGTGACCCTTTTCCTTGGGAGAAAAACAGATGGGATGCCTGGGCTTAAAAGGAGGGATGTGTCTTACTTCTTGGACTTAGTAGCACATTCCTTGGTCACCCCAGAGCATGGAGCTTCTCCTCCCCCTGGCGATTAGTTAAGGTGACCAGACGTCCCGCTTTTGGCGGGACAGCCCCAATTTTTAACAGTTTGTCTTGCGTCCCTGGGCGTTTTAAAAAAGTCCCGATCGGGACGCGGGACAAATTGTTAAAAAGCGGGACGTCTGGTCGCCTTACAATTAGTAGGCATCTGAGTTTATTCCTTTATCCACCCAGTATTGCTGGAACACTAACACAAGCATATACTGGAGGTAAACTATACTGAAATGGCCACCAAAGGACCTGGCCAGGGAAAAGAAGCCCCCAAGGGTAAACTTCCCGGGCCTTCTCCATTTGCCGTGGAGGGAGGGAGCATTTGGAGAGCAATCACATGTGTGTTTGATCCCCTGGTTTTCAGATGACATTGCCTGGGCCTCCTCACAGGCCCCTTCCCCACGCTCCCCCTGCTCCCGGCACTGCCCGCCCAGCCGGGAGGGCTCACTCCTGTCACCGGCTCGGCTGCTGGGAGGCCGCTCTCGCCAGACCCTGACTTCCTCGGAAGTGTTTTCTTCCTGTTTGGCCAGGATATCGCATTTTAGGTCTGGAATGTCCTTGCTCATCGTTGATTGGGTTTTCACTCTGCGTATCTTCAGGCGTGGTACATGTGATACCCTGTTTCCCCGAAAATAAGACAGTGTCTTATATTAATTTTTTCTCCCAAAGTTGCGCTAGGTCTTATTTTCAGGGGATGTCTTATCTTTCCATGCGCTAGGTCTTATTTTCGGAGGATGTCTTATTTTCGGGGAAACACGGTAGTAGCTACACCTTGGCAAGCCACTGTGTGTGCCCAGCCCCTGAGCAGCATGGCCAACGCCTGGGACCTGAGGGGACCTAGAGGTCCTCATGTCCATTCACTCAGTTTACACGTGGGGGACCCGAGGCCCAGAGCAGGCGCCTGGATTCACCGGGCAGTGGTCTTCCCAGTAGATCGGACATCGTACTGTCCCCTCCCATGTCCCGCCCCGCACCTGGCAGGGAGAGGAGCAAAAGGAATCCTAGCCGAAGCGAGAGAAGGGTTTCCTTCTCGCCCAAGCACCCGTCTAAGGAGGTCTGAAAGGCACTGGGGTGAGGAAGGCTTAGACCTGAGCAGGAGAAGGGGCAGGTGCCCGTGCCGGAGGGCGGGGTCCGGAGGGCCAGGCTAGGTCTGGGAGGACAGCTTCCTCGCCTTAATTCAAAGCGTTGGGTTTTCTCATTCTGTGCGATGGCCCCGAGATGTTTACAAGAGCAAGGCTGCTTGGGTTACCACCTCTCTCTGCTTGGAAGCTCTTTGACGTCATTGGCCTCCTTCCTCCGAAGGAGACAGGTTGCCCCGTTGGCTCATCTTTCCCTGGCTGTCAGCTGGCATCTCGGCACGGTGTCACTTACGCCCTCCCCCCCCCCCCCGCCTCGGCGCAGTCGGGGAAGGCACGGCTGTGGGCGGCCTGGCACCGGCATCCGGTGACAAGTGTCGCTGTGCTTTGTCATCAGTTCTTCGATGGGGGCCAGCTCGTGGCGGCCTCTCGCCGACACCCCTGCACCCGAAGCTGTACTCTTAGCGACTTAGCCGTCCGTTTCCTTGGGGCAAACCTGATTGGTTACACTGGAGGAGTTCTGGCAGCGTGGTGACCACACATGTTAGGTTTCTGGGGCGGTTCTGATGGAAAATATTGAGCTCCATTGTCCATCATGTATTCGTTTGGCATCTGGAAAACACGGCCCTCTCTCCAAAATGCTGTGTCTCGGGAATGATGGCTCCATCTCTTCTGCTCCTTCACTGAAATGCGAGGAACTCATAGGCTCCAGATGAAGATCCCTCTGAGACAGTCAGGTCTGACTCTGTGGTATTTCATTTCTGGAAACCCCTCCAGGGGCTGGTGAAACCCAGTGACGTCAATAATGGGAAGGATGAGGTTCCCAGCCAGAATGATTCTGTCCCCCTTGGTAGGTCACTGTGTGTGCCCAGCCCCTGAGTGGCATGGCCAGCGCCTGCGACTGGAGAGGACCTGGAGTTCCTCATGTCCCTTCACTCCATGGTCATATAGGGAGAAACCTGGATTAAGTCGCTTTTGGAAGTCCCTTTTCGTGCTCCTTGACTCCTTGATTTTTCTGTTTTTGGGCAAAAAAAGAATGTGCTCAATTTCAGAACCAAAATGAGAATTACTATGGGGTTGTTTTGTTTTTTTCAGTACTTGGAAAAATTGTATTTTTTGTTGGTTCTGACTTTTCTTAGAAGCATAATTCGTCCATTGTCTCTCCTCCTACAAGAACTCATTGGGGATTGTGCTGCTTTCTTACCTCAAGTGAGTTTTCCCCAGGAGAAAGGAGTCATTGGGACTACTTGTATATATTTGCACAACCGACCCTGACAAAGTACTCTGGGATCTTGATTATTTGTGGATCAGTTTAAGCTTCTGTGTTGTACCTTTTTATTCAAAAGAAAACCACAGACTTTCTCTAAAAATTAAAAAAAAAAAAAAGAATGCATTTGGCATAACTAGAAAATTTCTCTTAAATAGTATTTTGTTTTATTCTCTTCCTGGCATCGGTTCTCAACATGGAGCATTTATAGCAAATAAAGTGAGACCACTTACAGGAACCCCTGTTTCCCTCCCAAGCTTCTTTTGTTGGCTTAAAAGCCACTCCTAACAAGAAAAATGTAAGGATAAAACCTTCAGAATCAGGCTATTTCCAAAGTGAGGCGATGACTCACTTTGAAGGACGTGGCTCACTTATATATCCTTACTTGTCTTTGACATTTTGGAGCGAGGAGTTTTGAAGAGAGAGAGTGCTGATGGGTGGCTAAAAGCAAAGGCCCCGGACTCACAAAAAGAAACCTTCTTACCTCGTTAGTGAGAGGGAAGGGGCGCGTGGTCTTTCTGAAGGTCAGGCGGGAAGACAGACAGACATCCGCCTGCCAGGACAAGTGGCCCTGCTGTCTCGTGTGGCCACTTCCAGAAAGAGCTGGGGTTCTCTTTGCATGCACCCAGGGGCAGGGACGGGTAGATCTGGAGACTTCCGGTAGTTAGCAGGGGAGAAAGACAGGAAAATCTAACTATTGAGCCCTAATTGGTTTGGCTCAGTGGCTAGAGCATCGGCCTGAGGACTCAAGGGTTCCAGGTTCGATTCCTGTCAAGGGCATGTACCTTGGTTGTGGGCACATCCCCAGTAGGGGGTGTGCAGGAGGCAGCTGATCGATGTTTCTTTCTCACCAATGTTTCTAACTCTCTATCCCTCTCTCTTCCTCTCTGTAACAAAAATAAAAAATAAAAAATAAAAAAATAATATATATATATATTTTTTAAAAAACCGAACCATTGATTCTAACTCCCTACCAGGGGGCTGGGGGGGAGAGGAAAAGGAGCCAGTGGTTAGAGTCTCCCATGGGTTTGTCTGGAGCAATCTGTAGAGAAATTACATTTCAAAGGCAATGGGAACAGGTTGCTGTTAGGAGCCTTTGATGTCTAGATGGATGAGATTAATAAGCTCGAAGGCGCCTGCTGTCTTTCTTGCTAAGCAGCGGGATGTGAAATAGGCAAGGTGTTCTCCTGAGTCCTCTGTGGCGATGTCTTCAAAATAAAAATCGGTTTGCTTTTTGCTGTCACGTATACATCTGCTTTGTGCTTCCCTAAACAAGATCGGATTAGTCTTTGCGGTCCCTTCCAGTGAGGATGTCACCGGGGCCTGAGTGTCGCTTTGGTGGTGGAGGGAAAGTATGACACGTCTCTGTAGGCCGGAAGGAGCCTGATGCCACCGTTCGGTGACGGGAGGGTGGGGCTGGGAGTTCTCTTCCACCCGGTAACGTACCGCAGAGCAGGACCTGGGAGTGAGGATCAGCACGTGCAGCCACGTGTCTGCTCTCGTCCTGCCGTCACGGAGCACAGCTGAGCCGGCTGGAGCCCGAGCCCGGGAGAAATCACCCCGCTCTGTACTCACTGGCTCTGAAATCTCCCTCCACGTACCTGCCAAAGGCCCCCGCAGTTTGGAGAGCGCCATGACCGCCCTGTGCCGTGGTGCTCTGGGGGTTTGAACACACAACCAGAGGTGACGGACCCCTCCCCCATCCCCGCCCTTGTCCCCAGGCCCGGCTGTTAGGCAGGAGGGCCTCCGGACAGCGAGGGCGGCGTGGCTCACCGGCTGCTTCTCTCCTCTGTGCTGCTTCCAGGCCAACCGGGACGCCGTGCTGAGCAGGATCCCCGAGCACAGGAGCGACCGCCTCATCAGCCTGCAGAGCGCCTCGGTGGTCTACGACCTGCTGACCATCGCTCTGGGGAGAAGAGGCCAGTTTGAGATGCTGTCGGAGGTACAGCGCTCGAGTCCGGACGGCTTCCAGGCGGTGGTGGTGGTGGGGGGTGCTGGTGGTATGAACGCCGGGACAGCTGAGGGACCTGGTCCTGAGCCCCTGTCACCAGCAGCCACGTGGCGTAGGGGTTCGCTTTGGTTTCCTCCTCTGTGAAGTGGAGACGGGCTAAGCAATTAGGAGGAGGCAGTCACCGGTGGCCACTTCCTCCCGGTGGTCCAGACACGCAGTGAGTTTTTGGGGGGAGGGAAGGAAAGCATTTCTCTAGCAGTTTCTCTTTTAGTGTAATTTCCACCATTACCTCACATCACCCACCTGTGATATTAGTTTCCTTATAAAACAGGCTATATTTGATTTAGAGCATCATTGTGTAGCTCCTGCTGAAACGGCAGCTGTGGGCACAGGGTATCGCCCGGCGAGCTGGGACAGGCTGTCATGTCCACTGTGTCTGCGTTCAGAGGGACTCTCGTGGCACAGGATCTCCTGTGAGGTGTTGTCATCCCCCCACCCCCCTCACCCCCCGTTTCTCAGAAACATTGGGATGGAAGCCTGACTTTATCTTGCGCTGTGGTTATGCGTAACTGAGCTGCTGCCCAGAATACCAGATTCCACGGCGGTAGAGGTGAAATAAGCATTAGATCGTTTTATCTTTTCTTTAGTGAAATGAACAGAGAGAAAGAGAGAAAACAACTAATTTGGTTAAAATGGACTTTTGCATGTTATGAGTCTTTCTTTTTCTAAATTTATACACATTGCAACAGCCTCCGGGCAGGAGGACAGGGAATGAAATACAGTAACAGACCGGCTGAAATCAGAGAAGCGCGCGTCTCGCCCTCCAGCCCGCAGAGCGCGGCCATGTTGCCCGGAGCCGCGGACAGCAGATGAGCCTGCGTGGCCTGGACCTTTTTTTAGGCTTTGGTTCGGTGACTGCACAGGGCAATGGCTACTTGTTCTTCAAAAACAGCCCTTCACAAGCCAGCTAGATAAGGCGGTCTGTCCTGATGTTCCTGTTACACCCAGCACCCTGCACTCCCCAGGACTGTGCCCAGCGTGGGGTTGGCCTGGATTCGTCACCCCTCCTCCTGGACAGCTTGGTTCCCACCCCCCGCATCTGCTGCGGAGCCCTCTGCAGGGACAGGGCCCCCAGCCCATGGGGAGTTCTTCGAAGGTGAGCCTTTGCCCTCCAGATGGACCCCTGGAAGTCTCGCTGGGTCCCAGGCTGAGTGTGGTCACGTGTCTGCTCTCATGCCATCTCAGGGCTGTGTCGGGGACAGGTGTGAGCCGCTGGAGGTGCCTGCCGCCTTCGTCACAGGCTGGGTGACCCCTGCCCTTGGACTTCGCTTCGTGACATGACTGACTCTAGGGGAGTGATTGTCACCTTAGCCGCATTCCTCTGCAGGGGGGCGCTCCCGGGCCTGGTTTTCACTAGATGACTTTCACCTTGATGTTGCTTTTAGCTGCCATCTTGTTGCAATGACCTGGTGCCCAAGTCACTGGCTGGTGCCGTCAGTTGTCTGAGCCTTTGCAGTTCCGAGTTTCACCACAGGAGTCGCATTTAAAGCAAGGGGACGTTGAGAGGGTGCCCGAGGAGCTCCAGTAGAAGGGTGGGGACGGGAATGTATCAGGGTGTACCCCTGGGGGCCTTTTGAATCCGGTACCATCTCTGTGCTATATCTATAGGTCAGTTGATAATAGAGAGGACACTCATGTCGTCAACACGTGTGTTTGCAGTCCCCTGCTCTGTGCCAGGGGCTGTGACTCAGGCCGGGACACATGAGCCAGGTGCGGTCCCTGCCCATCAGCAGCTCCCAGTCCACAGCGAGGCGGCCAGGCCCCACGGGGAGGCCTCCCCGCAGGCTCTGCATCCAGCAATAAAGGACTCGAATGCTTGGCTTCAACCTTTTGTTATGCCCAGATTTCGTGATCCCCAAAGACCACCAGGGAGCTGAGTCCGATGCAAAAGCAAAAGAGTCTTTTTATTCCAAGCTAGCCCACCTCACCTCCCACATACCGACCCAGCGGCAAGGTGGAGGAAGGGAGTGGGTCTCTCTAGAGTAGGGGTGTCGAACTCAATCAGAGAAGGGGCCAAAATCTAAAATCCAGCCTAAATCGCGGGCCGAATGGTTTACTGAACAGTCATAAACTGTCATTGTGATGGAAACGCAGCGGAGTGCAGTGATGACAGCTCGGTGCGGGCCACATTGCAAGGCCTGGCGGGACGGATTTGGCCCGAGGGCCTTGTGTTTGACACATGTGCTCTAGAGCAAAGGATTTATAGGGGTGGTCAGGTCACTGCTTTGGCTGACCCCGATTGGTTGGGTGAGGGCTAGGGTCCAGTTACATAGTGACATAGTTATACAAAATGGAGGATGCAGCACACGATAGAGTCAGGAGTTAATCCTGTCCTGCCCTCTCACCTTTCTTGCCATTTCTACTTAGTTTTGCAGTTAGAGCTTCTCCAAGCCCCGTGGTCTCCGATCTTCTAAGTGAAACGGGAGGCATTGTGGGTGGAAGGGAACATGAAGGCGCCTGGAGACACAGTTCCATCTCTGGAAGCCGGTCCCTGAGGAGCAGGCGCAGTCACCTCGCTGAGCTCGGACTCTCTCTCCCTTGGTCTCAGGCCACATCTTACTTAGCGGGTCCTGCTTCCCTCCTTTGCTGGGGTTTTCTTTTCTTTTCTTTTCTTTTCTTTAATTCTAATGTTTCCTTCCATTTTTCTCAGGACTTGAGATTAAAAGACTAACCCGATTTTTTTTTTTAATTGAGGTAAACTCATTTAACATAAGCATAGCCATTTTTAAATATCCAATTCGGTGGCCTTGAGAACATTCCCACTATTGTGCAACTATCCCCTCTATCAAGTTCCAAAACATTTTCCTCGCCCTAAAAGGAAACCCCGTCCCATGAAGTGATTTTTCTCCATTCCCCGACCCCCCAGTTTCTGTCAGCCGCTCATCTGCTCTCTGACTATGGATTTACCTAATTTGGGGATTTCATATAAATAGAACCATGCAGTATATGACATTTCGTCTGGCTTCCTCCGCTTAGAAGGTTGTAGCATGTGTCAGGGCTTCATTCCTTTTTTATGGTTGGATAACATTCCACCGTATCACGGTTTGTTTATCCGTTTGTCAGTCGACAGGCATTTGGCTTTGGTGAACAGTGCCGCTGTGGAGGCAACTGGCATTTAGACTTCCCTTGTTATGTCTCTGGGCCTGCGGTGGTTAGTGGTTATCGTTATTGGTATATAACCACACTTGGTATGGTTGGATATTCCGTTTCCTCTTCTGCAGCTTCTGCACCGGGACTGGTGGGCCTTCTAAATCAGAAACAGGCACACCGCCCTTCAGTTAAGAAACATTCTTCCCCATCCCCTTCTTTTGTCCTCTCTCTTCGTTTTGTCTTGTTTTACTTTTTCTCCTGTAATGACATTGACTTCATTGTCTGTGTGTCCGCCATGTGCAGCAGCCTGCAGGCTTAGAAGAACCAAGCAGCACATACAAACATGGGAGAGAAAATGAAGGCCCCGGGAATCCCACTCTCCGGGGGTCGTTACCTGCCCGTTGCCCCTCTTTCCTCGTATGCCTTCATGAATGTAATGTATGGAAGTGTGAGGAGCGGGGTGGTGTCAGGCATGTCTTATTGTGGATATTCCCAATCATCGCTCTCCCCTGCACTGGTACCCCTGCCTCCGGGCCCCTAACCCCAGGCCTAGAGAGCTTGGCCTTGAGTTCTGCCCTGCCATTGGCCAATTGTGTGATCCTGGGAGTTATTCGCCTCTACCCCCTCAGGTCTTCCTTCCATAAAATAGGGAGGGTAGTCATACCTGCCTTATGAATGTGAAGGTCACTCACTAATCCATGCAAAGTACTCAGAGCTCATTGAGCGTGTGCTTCCGTCACCTTAGCAGCATTCCTACCGCCGTATTTCCTGGGGTTGCCAGGCATCGGAAAGCCACCAAGTATACAGAAAGGTCTTTCTTTGGCTTCTAGAATTTTCCAATCTGGAGAGACCGAAGAGAAACATGAAAAGATGACTACAGTTGACCCTTGAACACACGGATTTGAACTGCAACTTACACATGAATTTTTAAAAATAAAAACCTTATTGTCTTCCACCTGAGGTTTGGAGTCCCCAGATGTGAAGGGCCAGCTGGGCACGTTGATTTGTGCCATTTTTATACTAGTGACTTGAGTATCCAGGATTTTGGTATCCACAGGGGGTCCAGGAACCAGTTCCCCACAGGTGCCAGGGGACAACTGAGTTTTGGGGGAGACAAAGTTTTATGTAGATTTTCGAAGGCACAGGGGTCAGAACCCCTAACCCGTAGGGCTCAGGGTCACCTCTAATCAGAGAAGACGACAGTAGGGCAGGGTCAAGGCAGGGCACAGAGCAGGCCACTTGCAGCAGAATTGGCAGGTGGGGGCAGCAGCGAGAGGTTCTGAGTAACTGAGACAGGAACTGGCTGCTCAAGGCCTGCTGGGAATGAAAGTCTTGATTGCCCAGGAGCCCCCTTCATCAGCAGGGTCGTGGTGGTGTGAGGGCGTTCGGCCTGAGGGTGGGAACTGAGGGTTTGTTCTCACGGGGGCGTGGGAGAGGGCGTTGGACAGAAAGCCTGGCTGTCAGACCCCGCACCTCGGTGCAGACTGTGCCCTGGATGATGGGAGCAGGTCCACCACACCCGGATGATCTGTGAGCAGGTCCCCTGTGCCTCGGCCACACTGCCCAGCGACACTTCCTTTACGCCTGGACCTCATACGACCAGAAGGTGAACAGCCCCCAGGCCACCACGGGGGAATAGGTGTCACCTCCTCACCGAGTCCTCATGCTTCTTCCTCTCTTGCCCCAGCCGACGTCAGCACTTCCACCTCAGGCTGGCGTGCTTTCCTCCCGGCCCTCTCCCGGGCGGACCTGAGCCCCCAGACACCCTGCAACAGAGGGGACGGCCGGGGATGCCTGTGCTGGGGGTCCCAGCTCCCCTTCTTCCCCTCCGTCCTCCTGCC